ACGGAACGAGTGATTTGATGTTAGAAATGACGAATTTGAGAGCAGGGGAGATGACCGGAGTAAGAACGCCGGAAGATACCGTGGCGTGGGCGGAAGATGATGCGGAAGCTGAGGTCGCCATAGCGAATGCGTCAGGATCTGAACGCTACTCTTGATACCATGTAGAAACGTTAACTCCTCATATGTCTTGGCAAGAACCAGAGGTTGAAGACAATGAACAGTAAAAGTAACAATATTATATTATTATTCTTGTTTTAGATAAGTACATGGCAGATAGCTTTATAGGGAAAAGAAACAATAGAGTTACACGTGGAGTAGTCTTATTGGTACAGTACACCAACGGGTAAATAATGTTTTAATACATAGTGTCTTAATAATTATTAGCTATTCATATTTTTCTTTTACAGATTATTTGCCATGTGATTTTCCGATATTTTTCTATGTAGGTTCCATCCAAGGCAGCAAAACAAAGGCAACATAGCATATTCTGACATTCGATGACAAGAGAGAAACATCGTGAAACAGAAGTTGCGAAACGTATACACGACAACAACAACAAGCAGGGGTGTTAATATTAGACACGACTCGAAAATTTTGAGTTAGGTTAAACCTGTTTGTCAAACGGGTCGGGTTCGGGTTTAACAAATCATACCGCTTCAAAAATCAGGTCGGGTTCGAGTTGAACCAGGTTCAACTAGAGAACTCCCGCTGTCCCGATTCCCGCCATCGGCCGTCCGCTTCTCCCACTGTATGCGAGTCAACCAGGCCTGACGGCCTCTCCATCCGCCTCTACCGTTGTCCTACCGCTGGCATATCGGCAATCAATTCGTGATCCTAACCTTAGGATGTCGGCGCTCGTTTTGCTAAGCCGCTAGCCGGGCAGTCTTCAACAACATCGGGCGTTCCCTCCTCCATCTTCTCCGGCTTCAACAAGACGACAGATGAGTGGCTGAACTTCCTACCATTCGCGGATTCACACGCGTCTTTGGCCATAACCCGTGTCAGATCGGGTCAACCCGGAAACCCGACGGGTCGGGTCCGGGTTGAATTTTTTGACCTATTTGCAAAAAACGGGTCCGATTTGGGTTGACCCAAATATCGTCGAGTCAATTCCGAGTTGAATCCGAACCCGACCCGTGAACCGATTTTGACAGCCCTAGCAACAACATCAAGTCTTTATCTTACTACGTGAAGTCAGCTACTTGGATATTTTTTCTCCATTGTATCGTATTAAGAGTCAAATTCTCATTTAAATCTAATAAAAAATTATTTTTAACATTTTCTTGTAATCTTGAACAAACTGCATATTGAAGCTGCTAATTGTTTCTTGGATTCACGTTGAATTCAATGAAGTTTTCATAAATAATGACAAATCAAACTAGGATAATGAATATTCCTTCCACTGCAGGAGAAAATTTTATGTGACATTGATACATCAATGATAATAAATCACTAATTTTCAGTTTTTTCAGAACCTATTTTTTATCTTGCAGGGAGAAAGTGAGGCATGCGCACAGCTCGGAAGTTCATGAATCCATTGAATGGATGCCATCCATGAATTTTAATTTCTTATAGGTATAGTGAAGAGTCTTGTATGCATTCTTAATCATGAAATGACATAAATTACACCTTCATATTATTGAAGGTAGGGGTGTCAATATTTGATGCGATTCGAAAATCCGACACAAATTTAACTTGAAAATTTCGCAAACGCGTAGGGTTCGGGTTCTCGGATTCTACCAGTTCGGAAAAACGGGTCAGATTTGGATTGACCCGGAAATAAATACTCAACTTAGTTTAACCCAGGAAAATCAAATCACGCGAGTCACGTCCGAGCTGACCTATGCCATCCCGTCCATGCTGTTGCTGTTCCGTCGAGTGACCGCGTCTAACGTGAGTCATGTGATCGCGTCTCTTCTAGTGTCGCTGGCCAGTCCCGATTGATGTCGCTGTCCTGTCCGCATTGGCATGCTTGGCCGCCTTGCCAATGCCGTTGTCGTCGTCTCGTCCTACTGCTAGTCGTTTCCACCATCCTGACCTCCAACTGATTTAAATTTAAACAAGTGATCTCGTCGAGTGTCGTTGGCCGCTCCCCCCATCTGCCTCTCTCCTGCCGCCTCGCCATCCGCACGGCCCCGCCCTGCCCAATGACGTTCATCTGCAAAATCAACGTCTCCTTCGACGGTCGTCGATGAGGTGCCAAGTACTTACACCGCCGCTGGCAACCAATGCCTCCTTCCAGCGAGACAACAATGGGTTGGCAGGTTGTGTCAGGTTTTCTCAGGGTCGAAGCAGGTCGGGTTCAGGTCCGAGAAAATATCCTGTTTTTTGGATTCAAATCGGATTTGTTCCGGATTTGATGTGAACCCAATCTGTAACCCTATTTTGACAGCCCTAATTGAAGGGATTGTTATTTACCTGCATTTTTGAGAGAAAAAGATTTCTTAATGGGCTTGCTTGGTAACTTTTCTTGAGTTTTTCTTCTTTTTTAAACCTTTTATATTTTATTATTTTCTATAAAATCTGGGATGAAAAGCATTACAGTGCTCTTAGTATTCTACGAGGTTTCACAATTCACTGTTGATAAACTCTTTGAGCAGCTTTTTCATCTTTAGCTGTGACAGAGCAAATACTTCCAACGACTTTGTTTGATAACATTATTATTTGGATCAATGAGGCCATGCCTTTGATGGCAAAGAGGCCATTTCAATTCACAGGCTCCTCCATCCAACGAACATTTCGACATTATTAAATAGAACCATCTCCATCTCCTACTCCATTATAGTGCAGTTCATTCAAGAACTTCTGAATTACATGGAGTGTTTGTGATCTCCTTGAGCCATTTATAACATATGACTGCTCTAGAAGAAATATACTTCTGATTATAGAAATGGCAAAGACAACATAATCATTTTTGGCTTCTTCAAATTTGAGCTATGAAGCTTCTCAATATTATTCCTATGAGTATTCCCATTAGAATGTCAATCTACATCTACCATCGCCATTGGACTTGTAACTTTCAGATCAGTAAGGTTGTATATTTAATTCACCATCATAAACGGTTCAAGTTCCCTTTACCTGTTGATGGAACTAAGGGTGTAAATGAGTTGAGTTTTGGCACTATCGAGTTGATCAGCTCGTCGGTCGAAAAGCGAGCTCGAGCTCGAGTCGAGCTCGAACACAAGCTCATCCCACTATAAACTAGCTCGATCCGGCTCGCGAACTCATGAGCCTAGCCTTATAAAGTTCAAACTCGAGATCGACTCTTGAGCTCAATAAGCTCAGTTCGTGTGCACATAAACGAGTCAAGTTCGAGCCAGCTCGGCTCATTTACACTCCTAGATAGAACAATTAAGCTAAAATTTTTCAATCATTTTTTGATCATTAAATGGCATGATGTGCATCATTTATTATCTGTATTTAGAAAAAAAATATCTTGATATATTTGAAGTAATGATTAGAGTGCCCAAATTGTGTCATTTGAAAATCCTAATTATTCAAGAAACCTGGGCCCTCTGAACATTACCTAGAAACCAAAAAATAAATTAATTCCTTGCATATAATCCAAAACTTTAAGCCTGCAGGCCCCATGCAGATCAACTCAGCAAAGAAGAGGTTAACCTATAATATTGACAGAACAGTGTTAATTCTACTTAGATCAGGACCTCATGAATCTGCCGACTTGCCCAACCTCAGAAACCAAAGACATGAAATCAATAAAACAAAATGACAGAACTGTTCAAAGGAAGAAGACAAGTTAGAGCCACAGTGAATGGAGAGGTCAAAAAGAAACAATTAGTCCTTGTTGTCTTTTCTTACATGACATTCAGGTCATTCCAAAAGAAACTGAGAGATTGGCTTGTTGAATTATGTAGGTAAGCAGCCTCTCAGAGCTCAAGCTTTTTGCAGGAACCAAGAAATGAAGAAAGCAAAAGCAAGAGTAGAGTGGGGGGGACTTCTCACATCTTTAGCATTCATTGGCTTGAAGGAATTTATTTCCCTTGGCAAGGCTTGCTTGAATACTTCATGCAAAGTCCAAATAACAGGTCCCAAGGCTGAAATGGTCAGTCATAATTCTAACTGTTTATAGGACAATGTATGGTCCCTTGAGAAGATGTAAACGTAGAAGGGTTGCTGAAGAAGAGGAAGATTTTCAGATGGGCTTAACTCATTATATTTTTATTTTTGGGTGCACTCGACTAATATTTTGGATCAAATATTAATCATTATTAGCATTGATTTAGTATTAATGAAGAATAATAAAGATACATACCACTTTATTTCATGTTATTTATATATCTAACATTCAAAACATTAATATTACATGTCTATCTCGTATTCTTAAAATAAATATGAGTGCATAGAATGAAATAAAGATAAGGTGACACTAGCTTTAATAACATTTATTTTAAAGCTATGCCATAATAACAAATGTACATGAAAAATATTTTTTACTCACAAGTTTAAATATATGACAAATAATTATATATTTAAACACGCTATGCTTAACTCTCATGTTTATGCAAAAAATAAATAAAGATTTTGTCCCTAAAAATTTTGACAATAGGGAGCGAGCATCTTAACGTGTTGTGTTCAAGTAGCAGTTGACACACAATTAGATAAATAAAAATAGTTAAGATTGTTTAGATAGATAACTTGTAAATGAGAAAATTATTGGACTTAGGCTTCGTTTGGGATGGCTTTCTTATTGCTTCTTAAAGCAGCTTTTTAGTATAACATTTTTTATTTTTATACTAGTTAAAAAGTAATAAGAAAAATATCCCAAACAAAACCTAAATCTATGAATTTCAATTAATCTTCCCTCTTAGAACTTGAAAAAAATGTCAGTACAATGTAAAAGTATAATGATTATTGCATGAAAATAATAGATGATGACCCATAAATATTTGTGTGCACTAGCCAGCTTTAGCATTTTGTTCTTTGGTTATCTCCCTCCAAAACTTAGGCTTCATTTCTTCTCTTCCCGTATCCTTCATGGCATGGGTTCATGGCATGGGTTCTTTGTTTGGTCACCCCCTTTGTTTGGTCACCCCCCACGGCTGTTGAATCAGGTTGAACTTGTTTTAAATTCAGTTGATGTTGCCGCTGTTTTGTCCCCTGACGATTTACCTTTTGTTCCTCATGGTATTAACTTGGGCTCTCTTAATCCTCATGTTGTCTCCCCTCGAGCTTGTCATAGTACTGATGGTCATGGTTGTGCTGGTCCCTTGTTGTTGGTGGTGTCTACCCCGGCCGTTTTGGCTGATAATTCTTTAAATCCTGTGGTTTTGGATTGCCCGAATGAGTCTGCTCTTGTTTCTAATAATGTGGGTGCGGGTGTTTGTGAGGGTTCTTCTTCTGCCACCTCCAGCTCGCCTCCTGTCATGAATGACTGTTTAGTTAATAACAATTTTGTGGATGTACCTGTTACTTTAATTGAGCCTCAAGGCTTAGTGTATCATGCGGGGGACAATTAGGGAATTGATGTACGTGTGCATCTGGATTGGCTTCATGGTTCGTCCGATTGTGATTCTGATTCTGTTTCTTTGGAATCGATTGAGGAAGAGGATCCTGGGAACTCTTTTGCCTTGTTGCGTGATAAACCACAGACGTGGTCGGTGATGGTAAACTTGTTGGTGTTGCTTTCCTTGGTTTTGGCTGGATTTTTGGATCTTTGGGGCTATGGAAGTGGGATGTGTTGGTTGGTTGGCTCGTTGTTTCCTCTCTCTATGCTTGTCTTTTGCTGGATCATTGTTTTATTTTTGTGGCTACGCTGGATGGTTTCTGGGCTATGACGAGGCTAGGGCTCGCTTTTCCTTTGCCTTGGCTCGTGGCAACCGTTGGTGGCGGGGCTCAATGGATGTTCTTCTTTTTCTCCAACTTGGATGGCCCGAGCCTGGCTTTGGATTGGCTGGTAGCCTCTGCCAATGCTGAGCCTGCTGGATTCTTTCCCCCTTCTTTTTGTACTCTATAGGCTCTTTTGTTTTGCCTCTAGCTTGTTGTAACCTCCTTTTTGACGCAATATATTTTATTTTTGGAAAAAAAAAATCTCTTTTTATTTTGTTATTAGCCTTATTCATGCTTCATTTTGCTTGCATTATTTCATTATGAAGATAACATGGTTGAAGTACCATAATTTTTTGCTTCATTTGGGACGATTTTTTTACTACTTCTTAAAACAGTTTTCTAGTATAAAAATTAAAATTTTTGTGTTAAAAATTTACTTTAAGAAGCAGTTAGAAAGTTATTCCAAACAAAGCTTTAATTAGGCAATCTTGAGATTTGCTTTTATTGTTGTTTGATTGTTAGTTCTTGCGATAAGATTTTGATGGCTCTTTCTTTATTGTTGCTTTTATTTTATGACATCCTCTTAGTACCAATATCTATAATAAAAATTGATAGTCTTCCTTTTTTGTTCGATATCCTTGCAAAGGATGACATCTTTGATGCCATTGAGCCCCATGATAGATGATCCATTTGAATTGCTAATTATGTCCATCACATTTGAGTGGGTGTTTCACAAAATAAACTTAAAACTATAAAACTTGCCCTTGAACTTAATATTCAAATATATAGTTCTATTGCCTTCTAAATGAGTTGAACTCACTAATGTGATTAATGATTATAAATCCGTTTTAGATCAGAGATTAAAGAACGTACAACTATGAAACTTGACCTTGAACTTAATACTTTGTGGCTATGATGCACCGATATACATCATTTGATGTGAGAATTAATATAGCGTCGGACACGTATAAGACACGGACACGTGCCCGACATGGCAAGGACATGTGTCGGACACGGCAAATATGTGTTTGATTAAAATAATATTTAAATTTAAGTACATATGCATGACACTCGTGTTCTGATTTTTTATGATAACATTATTTTAGATTTAAAAATTTTAATATTTTATATTAACTAATCTATAATATTATAATAAAAGCCTAGAATCTTCATTCTTCAATGTTGAAGAAAAGAGGGATTAAATGGAAGTCTATTTTTTTTTTCAGAGGAAGATTGCTTAAATCAAGTGTTCAAAGAGGGACAGTTAACATCAAACAATAGGGCTTGATTTCTCTAATATAAAATATAAAAAGCAGGTGTCCACAAGCATACATATAAACCCAACATTAGGGTTAAATTGTGTCAATATTCTGGAGATAGTGGCATTTTTTATGCTAATTATCGATGACAATTGTGATTATCAGCGGCAATAATTAGTGGTGGTCGTTGGTGGCGCTGGCTAGAACTCTATTTATAGTTTTTTTTTTTTTATATTATGATGCATTCCTTTTAACATATTATAAATATTATAATTAAAACTTGGAACTATCATTTAAATAAAATTATTTCATATTACTTTATTTTAAAATGAGATTTCTTTATAATTTGTAAACATGCATATTTAATATGAACATAAATTTTATACAGTTTTCCTTAATAGTTATAAAAATTTAAATGGATATTTGATTGACTATATATGCATTTAAATTTGATCTTTCATATATTAAAAACAATATTTCAATTAATTCTTTTTTAATGTTCAAGTTATGAATTATGATTTAACGTTAATAAAAAATAATATATTATTATATTATTTACATAACTATGCTAATAATTATGTAAGTTAGTATTATGTAAACAAATAAAATATTTAAATTAATATTATGTAATCAAATTCCCCTCTCCTTGGCTTCTCTTCTTTGCATCTTTGCATTCTCGGAAGCTTAAACTATACCATAACACTTTTTCTTCCCATAACATTTCCTCTCCACTCATCTCTGATGTAGTGGATCATCGGAAGACTCGACCTGCAAGAAGGATTTCGTTTTACCAATCCAGGGAAGAAGAAGACAAGCTCTAAGGCTTCAAAGACTAAAATATTTCATTCAATGACCCCCTCTCTTACAATAGCTTGTATATTTATAGGGTAAAAGGAGTATTCTAGAAACTAGTGGTAACAAACCTATAACAAACTAAAATAAAGTAATCCTAAGGACTATATAACTAAAGATGTTCCTACATCACTCTCCGCTATTCCATATCTATTTATCATTGTTTAACTATTCTGAAAATAATATCGCTTTGAACCTCTGCCACCATCAGCTTTAAATACAAGCCGCTTCGAATTTCTGCAAAATTCGACTATAGGTTAAAATCAATTAATTTTAAACAATATTTTTATATATGATTTTGCTTATATATTTACTCTCATGAAGTTTTGGTTATTCCAAATGACTCTTGTGTTTTCTTTAAGTTTTATATGGGTTTTAAATTTCAATGGGTTGTTTCGATTTTTTATTTATATTGCTTCGAAAAATTAAGTAATATTTCTATATATTATTATAAATTATGATTGATCCCACGAGTTAAGGATAATATATATTTTTTAATCTATGTTGAATATACTTTACAATAAGATTTATTGAAATTTTGCAATATACTTTGTAAAAATATTCAATATCATATTTTGATAAAAATGTACTGACCATCCAAAGAAAGTTCAATCAAATTTATTTGCATTTTATTTCTTCAACAAATTAGTATACTTAAATGTCATTTTTTTTAAAATTTTATAGTAATACAATTAGTAGATAACCACTTTTTAAGGAAAAAATAATAATTTACAAAATTATTGTAATTTCTTAGTGCTTGGCCCTCTCGTAGGGTTCTCTCTTCTCTCAAGAGCTCACAAAACAAAAGAACCAAAAGATGGAATTTTTATTAATCAATCATAAACCTCATATAATAGTAAATACCTCTATATATAGGTCTAACAATAAGAGAGAATAAAAAAGACTCAAATGCCCCTGTGGCTACAATATAAAAAAAAAAATCTCTCATAGAGGTACAATGATAAAACTTGAATATAAATAAAAGAAATACATAAATGCATCAAAAATAGAGACTCTGAATCGTAGATGTTGATCCACGATTCCTTCAATGATAGATGACATGGGTTGGTATAGTGACTAATTACCAAATCTTGTAGATTATGTTGAATTTTCATGCATACATCATGAAATTTGTCATTCATGTTGAATATATACATAGCTTCATCATGTATGCATGTATATCGATAGGCTAAGGTGATTACCTTATTATATAATATTTTCCATCTATGAGAATATTATAACAATGTTATATAATTATTGAACCATCGATTAGCCAACATACTTTACTTGCACGACTATTTAGTAATTGTATTGGCATTTTGTTATCATATATATCTCCATAAGATATATGAGAATCTAATGAAGACCTTATGAAAAGAAGAGATTATTAGGTGCGGAGTGCGGACGAGAAGAATCATTCGCACAAGTATTGGATACCTAGCGGTACCGGCACTCGGTACCGCTGGGTACCGCTAGGTACTCAGTGCTTGTGCGGACGGTGCACACTCCGCACCTAATAATTTTTCTATGAAAAGGTGTTAGATTCAATGGCAAGTGTTTTATGGATGAATGCCTTATATAAAGCATTCACTAAGACAAGTCCAACTTATATAAAACTTATTTGTATGAACATGAATGATAAATTATATATTTTGTATTATTGCAACCTATTATCGAACCTCTACTCTGATTATTTTGTTATGTAATATTTTATATAAAGAGCAAGATATAATATAAAATATCGATTTATTAGATTATATCATTTGATATGTACAAGCCCAAAACCTTTTCTATATTATAACAAGCACATATAAATTTTATCATTTATTTAATAACTTAATAGTACTGCCATTACATGTAAATGTGCCTTAATTTTTAAAAAGAGGGCACAAGTTATTTATAAAATATCTTTAATTATATGTTTCATGGAATAAGTTGATAACACATTTGTGTTATTTGTTATTCACCATTTCATTCATACATCTAAAAGGAAGGTAAAGATTTTTTAATACATGCTTGCTTATAAGTATTCGAAAGAATATTGGATATAGTGCAAATCAGAAAAAAAAATATATATATTGCATGAAAAATATGTAATAATGGAAAATGAAAGTGATAATAATTGTATAATGTGCATTTTTTGTGGAAAATGAAGAGGATTATGAATTAGGAGATGATGTTAATGAAAGAAAAAAGTCATTTTTTTTTACATTTGATGACAATAATGATGACTCCTAAGAAGACTAATTTAATTTCGGACAAAAGAATTAGATTTACAAAAATGGCTATAATATTTTAATTTATGTGTAATGGAGATGTTAATTACTTGAATTTAAATATAACTTTGAATGTTTTTATTATCATAATAATTTATCTTTCTATTTAATAGCATTTCATATTAATATATATTTTTATTCAAAATTATTTAATATTCAGCATCATATTTAAAATGGCAGGTGTCGTGCCATACTGCCATGTGTTATGGTTCCACGGGATACTTTGCACTATTGTGCGTCATTTATTGTTAGGCAGTATGTATCTAAATGAAAGGATTGCTAGATCAGAGAAGAATAAAAGAAAAACTATAATCTGGTATCACAATAAAAGGGCAATCCAATATATGAACAATTAGATATTTCACGAAAAGAACAAAGCACATATTTAAATAAGGTTATATTTTTATCAAAGATGTTTTTGTTCATGATATAGTTGATGTTCAAAAGGTAGTATATAGATGAGTATCCTATAGATGCACTGACTAAGATAATGTCTGGAACCAAATTGCATCACTATTTGATTCTGCTTCAGCAAGGCCTAGTTAAGGAGATGTTGGGAGAATGGTGGGCTTAACTGATCAAAGTTATATATCCAAGATCTAGATTGTTAAAAGGAATGGAAAGATAGCTAGATTAGATTTTGTTTAATATTAAACTTTTACACATAGCCAATTATGTGCCTTTACTATTCTTGCCTGTTGTGTAGTCTTTCCTATTGCATGTCAAGTTCTTGTTTCCATTGTTTATCTATTTATCAACTCTATAGGGCAGCTATTCAAGAGAGAAAAAATCAAGAAAGAAAAAGAAAAGAAAAAAAAATGGAAAGCTAGCAAGAGAGAGAAGAATTTATTCATAGATCCAAAAGGAGTAGAGGTTTCTCAATATGGAGGAATTAAAGAGAGAAGGGGAGAGATTAGCTTGAGCCTTCTTTCTCATTGCTTGATAGAGGTTTTTGAGCATAAAACGAAGAGGAGAAAGAGCCAAATGAGAAGAAGGGGTTGCTCCTATCGAAGAGAATGGAGCTCTTCGCAACATGGGTTTTCTTCTTAGAGCTACAAGTGGTGTTTCGTGACTAAAAGTTCTTCTAGCTTCGGGTCTGTTTTTCCCTTATTAATTGCTTTCATTTAAGTATTTGTCTTTGATCAAGAAATGGCTTATTAGTTTCAGATAGATAAAGACCAGAAAAATGGAAAGCATCATGTGTAATGAATTGAATATTAGATCCTATCATAGCTAAGTCTCCTTTTCTCCCTGTGGATGTACCACGTCTGTGCCAACAACGTAAATCATTTTGTGCTATTGCTCTTATTTAACTTTACTACTGTTTTACTATTTTACCTTTTTTTCTATATGAATTCTATTTCATAGATTCTTAAGTTTACTGTATGTTTACAAAGAGAAAAAGATCCCGCACTACTTGAAAATCATCTATTACAAGAAAATCATCTATTACCGGTGGAATTTGATAATTTTCTGACGGTTTTCAAATTTACCGGCGGTTTTCCGGCACAAATTAAAAATTCCGCCGATAAAACCGGTGTAGGAAAATAAATTCCGGCTGGAAATAATTTCGGCAGCTTTCCAGCGGAATTAAGCCACTAGAAAATTAAAAAATAATAATAATTGAAAAAATTCCTATGCTCTCCCGCGGTAGCCCACTTGACCTCGCCGGGGTTGTTTACAAAGAGAAAAATTTAGGTTCGGATCGACCCATTTAATAAACAAATCAAGTTCATGTCTCAATTTTTAATCAGTATAAAAATAGGGTTGTGTCCGGGTCAACGTGTTAACCCAAATTAGACTTGAGTCCCACACCTGTGCAGCCACAAAACCCCGTGCTTGTGTGTCGCACTCGCGACCCTCGCAGCCTCACCCCCGCCTTGATGCCCGTGCTCGAGCTAGCAGCCTCGCACCCATGCTCGCATGATGCACTCTTACTCGAGCAAATCACGCTCGCCTGCCTTGCGGCCCTCACCCCCCATGCTCGCCCTCGCCCCATAGCCCGTGCTTGCGTTTTCAACCTCGCACTCGTGCAGTCACGCTCGCATACCTTGAGGCCCTCTCACCTGTAAGTTAGCTTGTCAAGTGTCATATCAACCCATATTAGTGACAGGTCGGGTCATGGTCTGAATTTATTATCCTTTTTTTTAATTGGATCGTGTTCATATCAAAACATTTGAAAGCCGATCAATTTCGCGTTGGACCTAAACCCGACCTAAAAACCCATTTTAACACCCCTATCTTTATATTGCATTTAGATTATTCTATGCCAAATTAAAAAAATGCATATATTTATTTTATATTCATTCACATAATTTTAACTATTTTAAATAATTTATATTTCTTTTACACTTAAATTCTATTTTACTCAGCATGCAATCCTCATGCCATGGCGACATGGCCCGTTAAATAATAATTTTACAAGAATTATTCCGGCGTGAAAAGCGAGGTTTCAAACATGACGGCAGAATCATCCATAAAAAAAAAATCATTAATTGAGTTTTAATTAGCGCTTGGGAGCATTAAAAAATATGATTAGTAGAGATGCAGAGCTGCCATCATGCCACATGGCTTTTGATATTTGAAAATGCTGAAAATTTCAAATCTGTTAATTTATTTTACCTTCTAGGAAGATTATTATCGAAACATCCTTAAAAAATTATCTTGAACGGGCATGAATCTCGAGGCAAAATCAAGTTGGAAACTTCTAAAATTAAAATTCGGACCATCCGAGCTTCGATTTCAGCAAACTTATAGTCGAACTGAACGTATCGGAAATACGAACCCAACGACATCAAATTCGACTCAATCTGAACCTAAATGGGTCCAATTCAAGGGTCTGAAGCATTGTTGGAGGGTTCAAACCACAATTTGGATTACCAAACGGTTTCCAAATATGACGTGCTCATAGTCGAATCGAGCGGCTCGACGAGATTAATCCAACGAGCCTAAGATCATTGAGTTCCTACATCACTAAGACATTCAAATGTCTATCAAACGGACCATGATCAAATGATTCAACATCGGTCGTTCATCCAAGCCACTCCCCATATGCCCTTGATCTCCCACATATTTACTAGTCATGCCACTCTAGAAAATCTATAAATAGACCCCTCCTCCCTGTTAGGGTCCAAGCAAGAGAGAAAGAGAGAGATCAGAGATTGCTCTTGTCTCCTCGCTCCTCCTCGACCACCGCTTGAGTTCCGCTGAACCACTGCCTAACGTCGTTGCTCTGCCGGACCACCACCTGAGGTCCGGACTTCTGTCGGACCACCACCTGAGGCTCGGACTCCTACCGGACCACCACCTGAGGCCTAAACTTCCGTTGGACCACCACCTGAGGCCCGGACTTCCGTCGGACCATCACTTGAGGCCCGGACATCCGTCGGACCACCACCTAAGGCTTTGACTTCTGCTAGACCAATACCTGAGGCTCGGACTTCTACTAGACCACCACCTGAGGCACTGACTTCTGCCGAACCACCATCTGAGGCACAAACTTCTGTCATACCACCATCTGAGGCTCAGACTTCTTCCAGTTCACAACCTGAGGCCCAGACTTCTGCCGGACCATCAACTGAGACCTGAACTTTTGTTGGACCACCACCTGAGGCCTGGACTCCTACAAGACCACCACCTGATGCTCAGACTTCCGCAGGACCATCACATGAGGCCCAGACTTCTGCAAGACCACCACTTGAGGCCTAGACTTCTATCAGGTCACCACCGGATGCCCAGAGTTCTACCAGAGTACCACCTTACTACAATGGTCTTTCTGACCCCGATCTGCGGCCAACTACGGTCTTTTGGGCCTCTGTCTCCTACTGACTATGGTCCTTCCAACCTCCGTCACCTACTACGGTCCTTCCGACCTACATCTCCGGACAATGGTCTTTCTGACCCCGATCTCCTGTCTATTAAGGTCTTTCTGACCTCTATCCTATCAACTATGGTCATACCGACTAAACAAACATGTCTATGCTGATTATTGTAACTCCCACCATGTAATGCACTCTATATGATGTACATTTTTGACATCAAGCTAAGGCCTTCTCCCTAAGAAGGGCCTCATTTATAATCGACTCCAAATACTAGTGGGTTCATTCAAACTGGGCCAGACCCTGTGATTTTTTCCCCTTTCTAGGGGTTTTCACGTAAAAATTCTAGTGTCTCTTATGAATGCTACACCCTCTATCTTATCTGCTTATGTATTTGATCTTCGTACAATGCAAAGAAGTTAAGCTTTATATTTCTCTACTGCCGTGAATACTCCGGGATGCAACAAATATATTTATTTATTTTACCTTATTTTCACCTTATTAAAAAATAAGGTGAAATTGAGATTACTTTTTAACATGTCGAAAACAATCAAATTTTTATTCAATCATATTTGAATTAAATAAATAAATAAATATCTTTAAAATATGTATTATTAATTTTAGATTCTTTAGATTTGTTAATCACTTAATAAAAAGTAAAACTTTTTATCATATAGAACGCCTTAAGCATTTATTTTTATTTATTCAAAATCAGCTCATGATTGGCTTGAGCTCAAGTGAGTTGAATACAAACAAATTATTAATCACCAATTTCGAAATAAAAGCCAATTTCAAACAAATAAAAGTTCAAGTAGGCTGTCAATATATGCACGACCAGAAAACTCAACCCAAACTCAACCGGAAAATTTAAGGCTCGGGTCAATTGATATATTGGATATGGTTCGGGTTAGCCTGCAAACCTCGAAACAACCAATTTAACTCGAAATCGTTCCCGCGTCCTCACCTTCGCCTGCTCGTCCTCTCACTCGACGCTTATTGCACTCGCGGGTTGGGTTAGGTCAACCAGGGTTAGGGGTGGGTCAAGTCCAAGTCTGAATTTCTAGCCTGTTTTTCTAGTTGGGTCAGGTCAGACCAATTGAAAGCGAGTTAGTTTCAGGCAGTTTGAACCCAATCCCAACGCAAAAACCAATTTTGACACTCCTAAATTGAAGTAATCTAAATACAAACATATAACAAGCTCTCTCAAGATCGGTTTTTTTCTTTTTTTACACCCCTAAGCTTAGGAAAAAGCCATAATAATAGTTCACATAGTTTTTATCGATCATTAAAATATTTCAAGCTCGGATATAAATAGGCATATAAGAGGTTCCCATCTGTAATCAAATTGAACCATATTTACTTGATTCGTTTAGTATCAATGGCTATCTACCTTCACTTTCCCCTTCTCCCATTCAAAACTAAACAGACAGTTTTGAGATATTCTCCCTCACCATCTTCTCCTGTTTTTCAGCAAATAACTGTAAAGTATCAGCCCGTAAGCTGCCTATCAACTGCTACTACAATGTCTTCTTCTCCAGCTCGCCGCTCAGCAAATTTTAAGCCAACCATTTGGGATGATAGCTTCATACGATCGCTGCCAATTGATTTCATGGTGATGGCTTTGTTATCTTATAAATTCTTTTGAGTAATTATGAGAAAAATTTTCTATTAGATCTAATCTCTTAGATTAATAGAGGTATATCTATTATTATAAATTAAGTTTTTATTAAATATACGATTTTTTTATTCAAATACAAAATGATAAAATAAATTCAACTGATTAGGGTCAAATTTTAATTTGAATATCGTGATTCTAATTTTTCACAGAGGCAAAACCTCTAATTAAGGCATAAATTTTTATTTTATCTAAGGCTAGGTTTTGCACAACTTTATTATTATTTTGTTTTTCATATCATAATTTCTATATATTTTGTCACCTATTTTCTACTTCTTTAAAAAAAATTTGTAATAACAAGCTGTTATTTATAACATCATTAAAATTTTATTTTTTTAAAACAATTTTAAAAAACAATTAGAAAACCGTCACAAATGAAACATAAGATAATTCCTCCAAATAAATAGTTTCAATCAACTGCCTAATCTTTGATTATATATTAGCATCGAAGGAATTATTAATCTAGAATCTCTTTTAAGTGCTCACAATGTGTATATACTCATATGCTATTATATTTGTATTTTTATTTTTATATGCACATAAGTGCGTTATTACTCATGCAAGCATAAGTGTGCATATATGTGAACATGTGTATATGTCATTATAACTTATAACTTGCATTTTTATTTGTATATACACATAGTGGAATATATTTGAATCTTTATCTTGATTGTTATATGATTTTATTATACTTATTTGATGAATGATTATAAGGAATAAATTGAAAGAGAATCTATACATTCACACAGGAAGAGAAGTATATAAATCAAAGGAATAAATTGAAAGAGAAAGTGAGGAGTTTGATTGGCCAGCAACATGGCCTTATCGAACAACTTGAATTTGTGGATGCCCTATGCCAGCTAGGCCTTGATTATCATTTTCATTCGGAGATCAAGAACCTATTGTGTTTCAATATTTCATCAATGGAGGATGAAAATAATTCAAATGAAGAAAACAACCTTAATGGCTCTGCTTTGCTCTTTAGGCTACTAAGAGAACATGGTATCAATAATGCTTCAATACAAAGGTATGTACCGATTTATATAAAGAGTTATGGTTCAAGGAATTTATTCTTTGATGCCCTCAGTGTATATGATGGTAACAAGTTTGCACGCCTTCTTTGAACCTAAATATTTATTTTTGATATTTATGAAATTTTGACGATAATTTAGCATCTTATCCTCTCTTTAATTAGTTTCATGCTTATTTTCCATTTTCTAGTAAAAAAAGTATAGGTTTCTTTTCTATATAAAAATTCATTTTAAACTTATTTAACAACCTAATCAGATATAAAAATGTTATTATGGTAACCATATTATCAATGCTTGATTCAATTAGACTGCAATCTTATTTAGAATGCTAACAATGATAATGAATTTCTTTTCAATTAGTAAAACATCTTAATATTCCCAAAATATGACATTAATCTTAAAGAAAGAAGCAAGTCATTTAGTTAACTTCAAATAGTATATCAATTATAGGCCATTATGATAACAATTATGCCTAAAATGTTCTTTAATCAATTGGCAGAGTAAATGCTTTGATTAGTTGCTTTAAAAAAGAGAGAGAAAACTTGAATCAAAATCATGAACATGATGTCAAAGGAATGCTTAGCTTGTATGAGGCTTCATACCTTGCTATGGAAGGAGAAGAAGAATTGGAAGAAGCAGGAAAACTTGCAATGGAGCATTTAAAATGCATTGATAGATCTTTACTTACACAACAATTTATTGAAGAAATAGATCACGCCTTGGAGTTACCTTTGCATTGGAGAATGTCAAGGTTGCATACTAGATGGTTCATTGATGCTTATGGGAGACGAGAGAATTTTAATCCCACATTGCTTGAGTTGGCTAAACTAGACTTCAATATGGTGCAGAGTATCTATAAGGCGGAGCTACAAGAATTGTCCATGTAATTTATTCTTCATGTTTATTTGTATATGCATAGTTATTCTCATAATTATTTCAAGAAATATTAATGCATCTCCATTTGATCCTTAGGTGGTGGAGAAATCTTGGTCTTGTTTGTGAAGAGCTTGACTTTGTTAGAGATAGATTGGTGGAGAACTATTTATGGTCTTTAGGTATTACATTTCAACCTAATTTTGGGAGAAGCAGGAAAGCAATCACCAAGATTATCTGTCTTGCAACAACAATTGATGATATTTATGACATCTATGGTACCTTGGATGAACTAAAGCTCTTTACAAATACTATTGAAGAGTAAGTAATTGCAACGAATAATTTAATATGCATAAATAATTTGATTACTTATTGTTGATAAATATTAAGAAACAATAGTAATGTGATGATCACTAAATGAAAAAATATATTTACTTAAATTGTTCTCAATTAACTTTCAGATGGAAAATAGAAGCAAGTCAACAACTTCCAGATTACATGAAGATATGTTTGATCATAATTTTTAATACAATGAATGATATTGTCACCTCATTCTCACTAGAAAAAGCTTTGGATATTCTTCCATGCCTAAAAAGAGCTGTAAGACAATATTTATTTCAATTAGTGTTCTTCACTAGTTAATAATACATTAAATCTTATTTCTGAATTTTTTATGGTTAGATATAAATTTATATTAAGATTTAAATTAGTAGGAAAATTTTTGAACTTGCTAAGATAATATATTTGTTTTTTTTTCTAACTACAATAAATTATGTTTGTATTATAGTGGGTTGATTCATGCAAATCACAATTACTTGAAGCAAAGTGGTATCACAATGGATACACTCCGACATTGGATGAATACTTAGAGAATGCTTGGGTTTCAATATCAGGAAATTGTGCATTAACTGCACCATATTGTCTAAGTGATGACTTGACTATTAATTCTCTTAATAGTTTTGAGTTTTATCCACCTATCATTCGCTATTCATGCATAATTTTTCGGCTCTATGATGATTTACAAACATCCACGGTAAATACAAGTATTTATTTCATATATTAAAATATAGAATTAATGTTTCCTTCCTTTTTATATATAAATTGCATGTTCATAATGTAATGCTACTTGTAAGCTTATTACAGGAGGAGATCAAAAGAGGAGATGTTTCAAAATCAATTCAATGCTATATGAAAGAGAAAAATGTTTCAGAAACAGTTGCTCGAGATTATATTAAATGTTTAATAAGAATTTATTGGAAAAAGTTGAATCATGAATGCATCACATACTCAAATTTCTTGGAGCCTTTTAGAAAAGCTTTAGTTGGTTTACCGAGAACAGCACAATGCTTCTACCAACATCGTGATGGATACGCAGAGTCAAATCATGAAACTAAGGACCAAATCAATTGTATCATAATTGAGCCAATTCCACTTTAAAAGAAACACCCCTTAAAAAGGAGAAATTATTATGTGCGGAGTCCAGACATAGTTTACATCCAAACTCCAATCAAAATAGGCTACTTCATCTGTACACAACTTGGGTACAACCTTGCACGGAAGTATGTATAATGCACATCAGGTGTACAGTCGTGTGACCAATTTTGATTAGAGTCCAGACTTATTTGGACTCCGTACATAATAATTTCTCCTTAAAAATAGAGTTTCCTTTTCCAATTATATGTTATGTGTAATTTAGCTCATGATCGACTTTGTTATCCAATTAATGAAATATTGTAATTTTCTTTAAGTATTAAGAAGAGATTTTTCTATTCGAAGTAATCATTAAGAAGAGATTTTTCTAATTGTTCCACACTTAAGCTTAGTTTATGAAAACTTTTTTTTGCTTTTTAAATGTAAATTTTAGTAAAAAAGAATTTTGAATTAAAAATCTTTGTATTAGGAAGCTGCTTTAAGAAGCAGTAAAAATGTTATTCTAAATGAAGCTTCAGAATAATTTTCTTACTATTTTCTAAAGCAAGTTTATGACACAAAAATTTCTTAAAATAAATAAAAAAAAACTGTCCCAAATAAAACCTTAGATTGGGGCTATATTAATATTATTCTTATGTTATAATATATATAATTTTTTTTTTCATTCAAATATAAAATTTTAATTTAGTTATAAGAGTTTTATAGATGTAATGACTTCGATATTGATATATCATCAAAAAAATTATCTTGATCAGGCACGAATCTCAAGGCAAAAATCAAGTTGGAAACTTCAAAAATTAAATCCGGAATCATCTAAACTCTGATTTCAGCAAACTTATAGTCAAACTGAGCATCTCAGAAATACGAATCTAACGACACCAAATTCAACTCAATTCGAGCCCAAAGGAGTCCAAATCGAGGACCCAAAGCACTGTTAGATGGTTTGAACCCAAATTTGGATTACCAAACGGTTTCCAAACATGACATGCTTATGGTCAAATCGAGTAGCTCGACGAGACAAATCCAACGAGCCCAAGATCAGTGAATTCTGATATTATTAAGACCTTCAAATGTTTTATGAATGATCCACGATCAAAGCATTCAGTAAGACAAGTTCAACATATATAAAACTTGTTAGTATGAACATTAATGATAAATTATTTATTTTGTATTATTGCAATTTATTATCGAACCTATGCTCTGATGGTTTTGCTATGTAATATTTTATATAAAGAGCATGATATAATATAAAATATCACTTAATTAGATTATATCATTTGGTATGTACAAGCCCACTACCTTTTCTATATTATAACAAGTATATATAAATTTTATCATTTATTTAATAGCTTAATAGTAACGTCATTACATGTAAATGTGCCTTAATTTCTAAAAAGAGGGCATAAGTTATTTATAAAATATCTTTTATGTTTCATCAAATTAGTTGATGTCATATTTTTATTATTTGTTATTCACCATTTCATTCATGCATCTAAAAGGAAGGTAAAATCATTTGAATACATGCTTGCTTATATATATTTGAATGAATATTGGTAGTACGTCTTGAACCCAAAAATCAACGAACAATAGTAAATTTTAGCAAAATAAGAATTTTATTGCTAGGAAATCAAATAACAAGAAGCAAGATATAATTGATCCTCTTTAGAGAGGAGGATATTCTCTCCCAAACCCTAGACTCATAAAAGAAAATTATAGCACTCAAGACAAAATTCTGCATAAGAATATAAACCCTACTATGGACTTAAATAGGCATTCCTCCCTCCTTTTTAAATAAGCCCCCTTCCTAGTATATCTCCCTCTTTAATTTGGAAATAATTCAATTAGGAAATGGATAATTCAACCCCTTTACTAATATATTTCCCTCCTTAATTTGAAAATAATTCAATTAGGAAAAGATCTCATTAGGAAATGTTTTCCTAATTGATTTCCTTCTAATATAATGCATTAATTCTCTGCTGGCCCCCACCTCCTTAACCGCCTCTCTTTCCATGTCCAGCAATGCCGTATCGTTTGGATATAGTTCAAACCACAAAAAAAGATACTAAATAAAAAATATGTACTATTGGCAAATGAATGTGATAATAATTGTTTAATGTGTATTTTTTGTGATAAACGAAGAGGATTATGAATTAGGACATGATGTTAATGACAAAAAAGACTTTTTTTTTAACATTTGATCACCATAATGATGACTCCTAAGAAGACTAATTTAATTTCAAACAAAAGAAATAGATTTGCAAAAATGGCTATAATATTTTAAATTATGAGTAATTGAGATGTTGATTACTTGAAGTTAAATATCACAATGTTGAATGTTTTCATTATCATAATAATTCAACTTTCTATTTAATAGTGTTTCATGTATAAAATATTTTCAATATTAATTATATATATATCATATTTAAAATGGCAGGTGTCGTGTCATGTGTTATGATTCCACGGGATACTTTGCACTATTGTGCGTCATTTGTTGTTAGGCAGTATGTATCTAAATGAAAGGATTGCTAGATCAGAGAAGAATAAAAGAAAAACTATAATCTGGTATCACAATAAAAGGGCAATCCAATATATGAACAATTAGATATTTCATGAAAAGAACAAAGCACATATTTAAATAAGGTTATATTTTTATCAAAGATGTTTTTGTTCATGATATAGTTAATGTTCAAAAGGTAGTATATAGATGAGTATCCTATAGATGCACTGACTAAGATAATGTCTGGAACCAAATTGCATCACTATTTGACTCTGCTTCAGCTAGGCCTAATTAAGGAGATGCTGGGATAATGGTGGGCTTAACTGATCAAGTTTATATATCCTAGATGTAGATTGTTAAAAGGAATGGATAAATAGCTAGCTTAGATTTTGTTTAATATTAAACTTTTACACATAGCCAATTATGTGCCTTTACTATTCTTGCCTGTTGTGTAGTATTTCCTATTGTCAAGTTCTCGTTTCCATTGTTTATCTATTTATTAACTCTATAGGGCAGCTATTCAAGAGAGAAGAAATCAAGAAAAGAAAAAAGAAAAAAAAATGGAAAGCTAGCAAGAGAGGGAAGAATTTATTCATAGATCCAAAAGGAGTAGAGGTTTCTCAATTTGGAGGAATTAAAGAGAGAAGGGGAGAGATTAGCTTGAGCCTTGTTTCTCATTGCTTGATAGAGGTTTTTGAGCATAAAACGAAGAGGATAAAGAGCCAAATGAGAAAAAGGGGTTGCTCCTATCGAAGAGAATGGAGCTTTTCGCAACATGGGTTTTCTTCTTTTCTCCTGGTGGATGTATCACGTACGTCTGTGCCAATAACATAAATCATTTTGTGCTATTGCTCTTATTTAACTTTACTACTGTTTTACTATTTTACCTTTTTTTCAATATGAATTCTATTTCATAGATTCTTCAGTTTACTGTATGTTTACAAAGAGAAAAAGATCAAGCTGATTAGTAATGAAAAGATAAGCTCGTTTGCAAGTGCTTTTGCTCTTATAGAGTTTTGAGATGAAGATGTCTAAATTCTCGTAAATAGTTTTTTAAATAAGTTTGACATACAACATTGTTCCATATTGTCAAATCTTATGGTTCAGCTACGTTTAGAGATTTGTAATAAATCTATTGAAGAAATTATTTGCAATCAATGAGGGTAGAAGATAAGTTTGTCAGAATTCTTTATTCTCAGTTTCTGTTAGAGCTAATTTTGCTATGTAGATCCTAACATATTGAAAATAATTGGAAGCTAAAATTATAAACTACTATGATTTTGTGTCCATTTTCAAGCATAACGAGTAACATTGTGTATGTAATGGCGTTAATGAATTTATCAAAAATGCTCTTTTAGGAATTCAAAACCACTGATACTGATTTAGTCTAATGAGCTTATTTATTGTATATGTGATCCATGCAATGAAAAGATCATTCAAATTAAGCAAGTTGAATTTTGCTCAGCTCTGCAGCAATTAAAGAGGAAGGTAATCCATTATACAAGTTTTACATTACCGAACATAAAACACGAAACTATGATCTCTAGATCTTAGGCTACGCTATTATGAGGCACTGAACAGCAAATGCAGAAGCCAATGCATTAGGAGCAGTTACACTTTGAAAAAAATTGGCTGAGTGCTCTGGGATATTTTGGCGATCCTAGGGTTTTCCGCTCTGCTCTCCGCGCCGCCTTCGTTCCTCCGATCGGGAGAGGTTAATCCTCTCCCAGATGGAGATCAACGAATTCCCCCCTCTTCAAAACTCTTCCATCCTGGGTCCGATTCCAGCATCTCAGAATGGTTCCTTCGCAAAAAACCTGGCAAATCCTTCTGTGTCTAAAGAAGATTTCCCGGTCTCCTTTGTTCGCCCAAATCAAAAACTCTTCTTTAAGGGAGAAGATCTCTCCGAAGGCATCTCAGTATGGTCTTTTTCGTTGATTGGTTATTCTCTAGGGCCAAGGCCGTATTATGAGCGACTTCTCGCAGCAATGTTATGAGCGACTTCTCGCAGCAATGAAAAAGGTTTGGATACTGAAAGGTTCGTTTTCCTTACTCTCGTTAGCGGATGGTTTTTTCCTGATCAAATTCTTTAACCAAGAAGATTTTGATCTTGTCTGGTCTGGAGGACCATGGTTAATGTTAGGGAAACCATTTATTCTCCAAAAATGGTCCCCTAAATTCCAACCGAGGAGGGATGAACTTTCTTCTATTCCCCTTTGGATAAAAATAGTTGATCTCCCCTTGGCTCTTTGGACCCCAAAGGGATTATCTACTATAGCCAGTTATATTGGTAATCCCTTATCTGTTGATTCTCTTACTGCTAAAAGAGCTAGATTAACCTACGCTAGAGTCTGTGTTTCTATCACTAAAGAATCAACTCTCCCGGATGAAATTCCCATCAACATAGAAGGAGAAGATATCATGCTCAAAGTTATTTACGACTGGAAGCCAAGTCGGTGCGAAGGATGTGGATCCTTGGTTCACAGTTATGCTGCTTGCAAGTCGAACC